CAACTTGACCTCAGGCTTACACTTGATAGTTGTAGAAGAGTAGCAGGTAGATCAGACAGCACTTCGCGAATGTTCCAACCTTTCCAAAGTGTGACTGTGTTTACTTCTGTTTTTCAACCGTCTGAATGATGTAGAAGAATATTTGCTTTGTCTGATCGATGTTAATACGATTGTATGATCACGATCAGGATTCGAACACAACAACTCTAAATTAACTAGGTGAATGTGTGTTCTAGGAAGACCACAGAAAAATCAACTTTGATTTTCTGAGAGAAATAAACTTCCTGAGGCTTTGTATGATATATGAATAATGATTAAAAGCTGTAGATAAACCAATGTATATAACATGGTTTATATAGAGTTTAGAATGACCTAATCCCTCTGAAAATAAGGTAAAAGTCGTGCATAGGATTTGATACAATTCTAGACCAACTGGGAAACAACTCAGAATAAGGAAATTGAAGTTGTATAGCAAACAGGACATCTTGAACCGGTTCAAGTTTGGCGGTGACTCAAACTTGAGCATCTTGAACTGGTTCAAGGTTGGTAGACCTGAATATTCGGATTCTTTCAGCCTAGTTTCATTCTACGGAAATTTCAAACCAAAATGGTACGTGTAGAATGTCCAACCTTGTTCATATTACTTCATAAAGTAGTGTTCTTACCCTTTTCTTCACAAACACTTCAAGTATGGTAAGTTTGAACTCCTTTCTAGTTTTGTAGTTTTGATGACTTGTAAAACAAGTAATTTAAATTACAACTCAATTTGGACTTGTTATGTCTATGATAATTGCCAAAATAAATTAATATCTCACAAAAATTACTCTATCCAAGTTATATCAAACCCCATTGATCTTTCTCAAAGCAATCCATTAATGCCTACTCCTCAAAGTCACCTGTTATCATCTTAATATTGATACCAAGGTTGAGTGCTCGGAAAATGGTCTATGCACTGTCATGTCTTGGAGGGTAAAAAAAGAGGCAAGAGATTCACAAAGCATCCATGGCCCTCTTGCACTTGCTTGGTTTTGTCTGAAACTATCTGTAAAGAAAGAGACTACGAACAGATTAGGTTCGGTTCCATACGATCAAAACCACTACAGTAGATAGAAGAATGCAAACAGACTGGCCTGTTGAGATACACCAAGAGAAGACCGGCCACGATCATCAAACTTATCAATGACGTACTGCATCAACTTTCTTTTTCACGTCTTGGTCGAGGTTGCAAAGCTCAATAATCTGTTGTCAAAAAAAAAAAAAAAAAAAAAAAAAGAAAAACAATAGATTATTGAGTTTTCCAACCTATGAACACCTTAAGGAATACGTGGAAAGGAAAGTTGATGCAATCATTGATAAGTTTCATGATTGTGGTCTTCGTTATGACTGTATTAATTTTGATCAATGAATCAATGGTGCATATAGAACTGAACCTGATCTATTGATACTCTCTCTTTCATTAAAGACTGTTCCAAAGAAATTAAACCAAGGAGAATGCAGGAAGACTATGGAAATTTGTGGGTCTCTTGCCTCTTTTTTGACCCTTCCATGACCATTCCTCGAACACTCCAACCTTGGTGTCAATATTTGAGATGATTATTGGTGACTTTGAGAAGTAGGCATTGGAGTAATTATCATTGTTTGAATAAAAATAGTTAGATTAATGGATATGCATGCAAGAGAGATATATTGGATAATCAATAACTCAAACACATTAACAAAGGCTTTGGTAAGAATAAAGTAAATTTGATTTTCATAATAGCTTTGATTTTTATTTAAAAACATTTTCAGAATCCAAACAGTGTAATAAAAATTTCAGAAAATGTTTTCAATATCTTTACCAAACATCAGAAAAAAATAAAAATATTTTACATGAAAAAGTTAATTTTCTTAGAAACAAACGGTGCCTAAGATATCATTTCTGTTGGACAAATCCTTAGGTTAGTACATAGATTTCTGTTTTCTAGTGTGTCTAGGCTTTCTTTGCTTCCTCACACAAATCATCCGATTAATTCGTATACTGCTATAAACTGTACTACAAAGATGCATACAAAGCTCATTTCTAATTTTTATTTTTATTTTTTTCTCGGTGAGTAAAAAAGGAGGTGCAACATGAGAATTTCTCAAGAGTCACTCAAAATATATATATATATATATATATATATTTCCGATGAGTAAAAAAAGAAGTGCAACACGAGAATTTCTCAAGAGTCACTCAAAATAGATTTATAAGAATTGGTAAATGCTCAAGGGTCCAATCATCATATATTTGTGCCAACCCTCCCTCCACACCTTTGAACCAGACACATCTGCAAAAGCAAATCAGCAGATTTCAGTTGATCAGAAAGGACATTGAAAGACAAGTGGTGATGAGATTCCATTTGTGAGTCTCTGCTGAAGAAGACACTCCCCATTTTAACTGTTTGTCTCTAGTTGCTAATTTCCCAGACAAAGCCAACAAGGCTTGTCTCTCAGTCACAGCATAGCTTTGGTAGAACCATGGCAGTACCGGCTGCAAAAGGAACTTCACCTTTCTGAGTATTCCCTGCTGAAGCAGAGCTGTACAAATGGGAAGTTGTGAAATGACCATTAAATTAACAATGTCAATTAATAATTGATTGAGGGGTAAATGTGCCTAGCTAACACACCGGTCACAAATATTAAATGAGTAATAATAGGGATTGTGATATTCGGACAAACTCGATTATTTTTATATGGTAAAATCTGATAATAATTATGTTATAAAAAAATATTAATGATATTATGATAGCATTTGTGCCTTCACACTTAAAACTGTCTCGACTCATTATATATATGTTGAATGCTTACTATCAAATCCGTAGTAAAAGATCTATCGGTTGCACCTGCTCATTAAAAACAAAAACAAAAATCTAATGCAAAACAGGATAGGGCCAATTAATACATTCATGCTTGATGGCTTAAAGACCTGAGAGTGAGTGAGAGTGTATATTAATGATGATTCGGACTAATGGTTTGAACGTTGAATTTTGGATAATGGTTTGAACGTTGAATTTTGGATAATGTTTGAATGTTGAATTTTGAATCTAGCTAACTATAAAGTCTTTATGGCTCTCAATTCAATAAATAAATAAATAAATATATATATATATATATATATTATTGTTTGCAACTAAGATTAAAAAAATATTTAATAAATTAAAATAATAATCTTTTAAGTAAAATAAATAAATAAAAGTAAATATAGGAGACACTCTTATGACGCGCACACTCAAATTTTTTAAACTTTGACTTACTTTTGCTCTCGTACTCGTTCTTACTCCTACTCTATATGACTTAACTTGTGACTATTTAAAAGTATAATTATTGTTCTTCAAATTCTTTAATAGATATTAGTAGCGGGTGTTTGAGTGAGTTAAAGCTCAACGTAAAATCTTTTTTGATAATATTGAATTTGAATTTCTCTGAAAGGTTATTCTCGTGTTTTATTTTTCAAAATAATTTTTCACATAGAAGAAGAGTCAGGTGTATTCTAACCAATCTACTTGCTCTTCACTTTAGTGTTTGTTGATTGCGAGTAAAAATTGGGTGTGTCGGACAGTACCAATGACATACCATGAATTGTCAATAAAAACCAATATAAAGAGTAGTTTTTAAAGATAGGTGAGACCAATTTTATAAAATAATGTATTTTTATTAATTGGACATGCCAATGATGTGAAAAAATTATTAAATAATCCATGTCACTTATGAGCCGGACGCAATGAATATTTTCTCGTTAATTGCATGGTCTAACTAAGAATAAAATTAATAAAAAACGCAACTAAGAACTATCCATCTATCTTCTTCTTCTTCTTCTTCTTCTTCTTCTTCTTCTTCTTCTTTTTCATTTTTTTTTTTTTTTTTTTTCAAGTTAAAGACTATTCATCTATTTTTGGATATTTCGAACTGTTTAAACTTGGTACAAACCTTTTTTTTGTTGCGTTTTATGTCTTAGATTATTCCTTACCCGAATTTTCAGGAAAAATCTTAGATTATTTTACTAATATGTTAAAGGGTTAAAGAAGGAAATATATATAACTCTGAGTTAGTTTAGTACAAGAAGTCAATGGTAGATAGTATTACTAATTTCTCAAATTATATTAAAAAAGTATTAAGATTTGGAATTGAATTGGTTTGATTTTTCTGATCTCATAAATGTTATCCTAACAATTTTTTTTTTAATAATTTTTTTTGGAAAGGGTGATAAAACATTAACTTGGAAAATTGAACCAAATCAAATGGTTTCAAATAGTTTGGATTAGATTAGGTTATTTACGCAAATAATATCTGATACAAATATTTCTTAAATGTATTTATAATTTTAAATATAATAATTTTACTTATTTATTTATGAAGACGTATTGGATACTTATCACCTATTGGCTGGCCATGCATTTGCTATGTCTTGCATGTATATCATGTTTTGAATATGAAAATGTAGGTTTTTAAAAGTATTTCATAGGATAATTATTAAGAAAAACATAATAATGGTCTCCAATAATTGGATTTTTTTTATTAAAAAAAACATAAAAAAACTGAAAAAAACAATTGAAATATAATGAGAATATAGCATATTTAATTTATTTGAAATTTTTTACTCATGCAACATAACTAATACTCCGTAGCTTATTTGTTATATACTGTTTTCTTTAAAGGGAATGTTAGTAATCAAATGGGAAATAATTGTTATCTTGAAGTTATAGATAAAAATGTACATGTAATAATTATTATACAATGTTATATTAGTACAATTCTATATTAGTACAATTTGTGTAAATAATTTTATACAATTCATTAGTTATTTACTGAAACTTTCTTGCTGAGAGTGGCTTTAAAGTGATTCGAACTCCAACCCATGTGAAGTGAGTCAGTGTCCGAGTTTGAATGATTTCATTTTTTTAAGGACATAGTTGGACATACAATAAAGGCAATTGTTTTCAAGAAAAGGATCTCAAATGTAATTTTAAAATATCATGAGTTAATTAGAAAAATAATACTCCGTATATAATTTAACGTAAACAAATTCTGAATCGCCCAAAAGCACCAAATACCGATCGGTCTTCTTTGTCTTTCACTCCTCCGCATCGCCGCCGAACAAGGAGGCGAGAAGAAGAAGGCGAGGAGAAGAAAAGAAAGGAGGAAGCTCCAGGTAACTTGGCTGTTCTCTAAGGGCTAGGATTAGGGTTTTTTAATTTTTAATTTTTTTTATCTGCTCATCTCATTTCCTTCGACCATCTTTGTCTCACTTCACAGCCACAAGCCACCACCTTCCACCACTCAAATCACCTCTCCCCACCACCGATTTCACTACCGCCACCAACCCAGCCGCCATCAGATCACCCTCACCACCACTCTCATCCACCACCACTGTTCACACTCATCATCACCACCGTTCACCTTCACCCGCGCACACCTCTCAGCCTCCATCACCACCTGCCACAAATCACACCATTATGTGATAGCTGACTATATATATATATTATACTGTATACAGGCAGCAAAGAATTGAAATTTGAAAGAGTTTGTGGCTATATACACAACACAAAACCAAACCAAGGAAATTCAGTAACAAAGGTAAGACTCCGGCTCCATAGATCTTCGATTCTTGCTCTAATATATGGCTGTGTTAGTGGCTTTAATTTTGGATTTTTGATGCGTTGCCTTCTATGTTGTTTTTGTTATTTTCATTTTTGGCCTTCAAAATATTCGTGGTATGTTGAACAAATTAGTGATTACATTATTGTTATGGTTGATAAAATGAGATAACTCTTACACATATATATATATATATACACATTTATACATGTCATAATATTTTATATTATTTACTGTCGGATCCTTGCTGCGGCTGTCTTATTTGTGTTTATATCCATGCTTCATAGGTAGTGCAGTGTTCTTGGCGTATCGATATCTTATGTTTTAATAATTTGTTGTATTACTATGTTTGTGTACATGTTTCATAGGTTCCAGATATAGCTTTAAAATTAATAGTCAAATAATGTAAAATGGCTATTTAACCAACCTTACTTTATAGGACTGTTTTTTGGTGTTCTAAAAGTAATACTTTCATAAATGAGTATTTTTTATGGCTGAAATGTGAATGTTGGTTTGGATGTGTGGCAAGATAAGAAATGATAAAATTAGAAATGGACGTATTTGTGGAATGGTTGAAGTACTTGATTTATTTATTTATTTTTTGATAAGTACAGTTGGAATAGTTGATTATGATGGTTTGTCCATGTGTAGTGAAGGTTAAGAACTACCCTAGTAACAAAGAGTGATGTCGGTCAATATTGAAGATAATGTTAGAGAGAGAGGCAGATCAAAATTAAGATAGATTGGAACCGTAAGAAAAAAATATGATTGCATGTGTTTGTTTGAATTTATGGTTTTAGATAGAGCGGAATGGCGAAAATGATTCATGTTGCCAACTCTAAATAGTTGAGAAAAAGGCTTTGGTGTGTTGAGATAAGTTACCAATCCTGATATTAAGTATTAGGAGTTATAATGTGAATTAGGATTCTTTTTGATATGATGAAATCTGGAAATACTTTTACTGTCACTTTTGATACAGTTGTTATTTTCCTTGATAGCTCCATTAAGTATAGTAAATTTATACAATAGAATGCTTTGTAAAATTTCTAAATTTATGTGACAACCAAATTCATTTTTAGTGATTTGAAACTGACTGTAGCTGGCTTATGATCTATTTTTAAGGGAGATGAAACTCATTTGTTTTCCTCCCAATGGTTTGTAGCTCTGAAATTAGGTGAACTTGATGGCATAATGAGGGAGAAATACAGTAGGCAATTATCGCACAATTGAAGGCTCTCCTGATGCAAGGTGCTGCTTAACTAGGATATTTTTCTATGCTGCCTACAGTAATAGAAAATATGGGCTTACTTTGCAGCAGACACAAACATTTTAATCAAGCTGATACTGAAGAAATTGTGCAGGTATAGTAATTCTTGATATGCTACAGGCTACATTACTTGCACCTTAGTCTTGTGAATGCTATACGAGCAACAGGCAATGTTGCAAGTTCTTGTCTCTGAGGTCTGATCATGTTTTCATCTTTGCATTTTATACGATATTATAGCTTTCAAGTTAGTTTTCAATTTGTGCTATTTCAGACTGAAGAAATTGAAAGGCGGATTGAGCAAGAAACAAAGGCAGATAAACATATTCAGAAACTACTTCTACTTGGTGTGTATAACCAAATCCTGTTTGTACTAAAGCTATATGTTTAGTGTTCAATTTGTTTCTTGTAGCACTTATTTATTATATTTATATATATATATATATATATATATATATATATATATATATATATATATAATTTCTCATAGAATTATAATATAATGATGAAGGAATCACAAGGGCATCACTCATGGTTTCGGTTGACCATTTTTGCCCAAGACGAGGGAGATTATAAGATTTATCATTTTGTTAAAATTATTGCTTGCTTCCTTTTGAATGATTGTATCATAATTAAGGACTAGGCTGTTACATATAGATGCCCTGTTATTTTGTGTTTTAAAAAGCCAAAAATCTCCTATATTTACCTTTCTGAATTGATTTTTCTTACCTGTCTCAACCATTTGACCAATTCAAAGATACTTTTTGAGGCTGCAGTTGCTAGAAGTAGCAACACACTTCACTTCATTATGTTTTCAAAGCATGTTAATTGTTCCATGGACTTCAATTCCTTGTATTAAACAAATGATATTATAAATTGTGTTGGTTGTGTCCATGGCACTATTTGTGTTATTATTACCCAAAAAATATCATATTTGTAATGCAGAAACATAGACTCATTCCCTGAATGTGGCATATTCCATATTAGCCGATTCAAATTGAAATTGTCAAGTCAGCCATAATTGTGTGGTCAAAACAAGAATTATTAAGGCTCTTTTCTGACAGTGACAGTAAAACCTTGGTTTGTGTTTCTTGGAGTTTAATTAGACATGTTATACTTTATGCAGCTACCTAGAAAAGATTTATTTCATTTGTGAAGTTGTCAAAGATGTGGTTGCATGTTAGCTGCAGATTTATGGCAGCCTATCATGCATAATATATCTTCCTCTGCCAGTCTGCCTCCATTGCTTGTTTGTGAAGCTAAACTCTCCATCTTCATTCATCTCACCTACCACTGGGTCATATTTCTTATTTTTCTATTCTTTTATTATATTTTCTTTCTTGTTCTTTTTAACTTCATCTCTTTTCTAATATGCATTCACTTACATCATCTAACACTTAGGTAATTTTTTTTTTTCAATTTTATGTCGAGACTAAATGGTATGTATATAATGTTACACCAGCACACTTTTGAGAGTTGAAGCGTTTTAGTTACTCAATTGAATATTGTAAACATGCAATTTCTAATTTCCATAAAGGGGTAACAATTTTGGTTTAGTTATTTACATGTTCTTGATATGCAATTCTCCACCATCCCTTTACATGCTCGTATGCATTCATCATATATTTTTGTTTTTTCGGTGGTGTCACACACTTCTTTCCCTTGGCGGTACCGTTGCCTGCCTTAACACTGACATAATAATTCTTTTATTGCTAAGGTGCTGGAGAGTCAGGGAAGTCTACTATTTTTAAGCAGGCAAGTCATCAACACTAGTCTATTTACTGAAACTATAAGTGGTACTTGTTTTTCCATATTTACATGCCATTCCATAATTGGTTTGCAGATAAAACTTCTGTTTCAAACTGGCTTTGATGAGGCAGAGCTAAAGAGCTATATCTCAGTCATCCATGCCAATGTGTATCAGACAATAAAAGTATGCAATACTTGAAAGGGTGTGTTGGTTATTTCCCTTTTTGCAATACACATGTTTTTGTGTTAGCTGCTTAATAAAAATATCAATGCCTTTGTGATGACATGAGCTGAAATCCTTTTATTAGAATTGAAATGATGTTTTGTGTTTTGAACAGATATTGTATGATGGATCAGAGGAATTGGCTCAAAATGAAGCAGATTCCTCGAAGTATGTTTTATCTGCTGAAAATAAGGTTTGAGTTCGCTATTTTACTTTCTAATTTATTTTCTGTATATTTTCCTCCTTTTGTGTTGGAACATGCAAGTATATGGAATAAGGGATCTAATATTAACATCTTATATGATGTGATTTTATTTAAAAACTATCTAGACAATGACTATTTTATTTTTCCCTTCCTTTTATTTCTTTTATTTTTTCTGTTGTAACTGTAGAACCATTGAGCTTGCTCTATCAGATGTTGAGAGAGGATCTTCTTTTGGTAAATTTTAAATATTTCATTCTTTACTAGGAAATTGGAGAGAAACTATCAGAAATTGGAGGCAGGTTTGATTATCCACACCTCACGAAAGAGCTTGCGCGGGAAATAGAAACTCTCTGGAAAGATGCTGCTATTCAGGTAATTTTTTAGCTTTTTTTTTCTAAGTACTATTCAGGTAATTTCTGGTTCATTTGGATGGCTTGATCTGATTACTCATGGGTCACATTATTCTACTTCTGATATTCATTCTGAATGTAGCATTCCCAGAATCTAATGATACTTATTGCATATAGGAAACATATTCTCGTGGTAACGAACTTCAAATTCCAGACTGTGCCCATTATTTCATGGAAAATTTGCAAAGATTGTCTGATGTAAATTATGTTCCAACAAAGGTATGTGAAGTTTAAAGTTTACAACAATAATAAAAGTACATGCAATATGTTTTCTGATGTAGGAGAGGATTGCACTTACATGAATGAATAAACTCGGTACAGTAAAATGTTGGTGGAAAACAACATGATAGAAAATCACCTGTCCTTATTGCACTATTTTGAATAGCTTCAGAATTTGGAGAGGCTGTGTATATATATCTATACTACAAGCTTTGAAGTAAGAAAACGTGTAATTTTTTGAAGATATTATTATTATTATTATTATTTAACTAAGATCTGTATTGCAAATTCATTCTGGAGTGTTGGATTAGTATCTATGTTTGTTCCACGTGACTAGTTGTCCATATGTATTTGTTAGAATGTTTATGTATATATATATTTATGTTGGGTCATTATGTTATTACCCATAGTTGTTAGGATCATTGTATAAATTAGGTAACCTTATTTTATTAGGGTTGTTTGTTTTCCCTTTATAAAAGCCACTTTAGGCTTAAGGGTTAGAGTGTGAAATATATACAAGAGATATACAGAATACATATTCCCTCTTTCTCTCTCTCATGAATCTGAACATGGTATCAGAGCTATATGGATTCATGGGTGTGGGAAACGACAATTGTGTTGCCTTTGTATGAGATTGAAATCGCGAGAGTGTTGTCGCGTTGCGTGTCTTTGCCGGAAGTTCTTGTCGCCGGCAGGTTGAGAACATCGTAGTCGTTGTCGTCGTCAGATCTGCAGCCTCCTTCGTCGCCGTCAGATCTGAAGCCCCTTTGGTCGCTCGTGTTGTTGCCACGTTATTCGTCAGCAAGCTCGCCGACATCCACCGTCGTTATTTGCAGAGGTGAGGCTTCATCGATTCGTCTTTTCTCTTGGTCGGAAGTTGCAGAAGTGTTTGTCTCTGTTTTTTGCCGTCGCCGCTGCGTGCTTGCCGGCGTCTGTCAGTGGGTGAAGAAGAACAACGGTGTTTGGCTACGCGGTTATGCTATTCCAACCCTGGTTAACTAAAACCGGAATAGCAGAGACCCGGTTTTGATCCAGCCCAATTACCTAGATCCGGCCCGATTGACAAGATACGGCCCGACTGCCCAGATCCGGCCCGACTGCCGATCCTGCAATTTTTTTTTTTCCAGGTTCATTTTTTTTTGTTATCTCCTCCATGGCTGCCAGTTCAGACCTGTTATCTTCTACCTCCTTCAATCCTCCCATGACTTCAGTCAAGCTTAATGGCAAAAATTACATTTTATGGGCCAAGTCAGTAGCCATTTTCCTGAAAGCCCGAAGGCTTGGGCACTCATTTGGTTAAGGATAAACCCAAAGACAGTGATGCTGATTTCAGTTTATGGGAACAAAGGGATGCTTAGATCATCTCCTTAATGCTAAATTGTATTGAACCTCATATTAGCTCCAACTTGTTATATCTGGACACTGCCAAGGAGATATAGACCCGACTCCAACAGTTATATTCAGGTACTGGTAATATCACCAGAATTTATGATGTGTGTAGACAAATTTTTGACCTCCAGCAAGGGACTCACAGTTTAGAAGAATACCTCTCACGGGCAATGGGTCTTTGTGAAGAAATGAATTTGTATCAACTGATCACTTCTGATGTGAGAAGCATGCAACAACAACGTGAGGATTTTAATGTTGTTCGGGTTCTCACAGGATTGTCACAAGAGTATGAACCTGTTCGTGCACAGATTTTGGGTAGCCCTGCACTTCCCTCTCTTCCTGATATGTTATCCAGACTTCAGCGTGCTACTTTATCTAGTGGTGTTTCCGGGGGTGCTTCAAGTGGTGTCATTGCTCCTCCTAGCAGTGAACGTTCTGCCTTAGTTGTGAACCAGGGTGGTTTTCAGTCTTCTCGTGGCGGTGGTGGTCGTTTTACTCATGGTCGTTGCCGTGGCCGTGGTCGTGGCAAGAGGTAGAGAATCAAAACTTTGCACTCACTGCGGTCTTACTAATCACACTGTCAATTATTGTTGGGATCTTCATGGGAAACCACCACCTTTTTCCTATGCACATCAAGTGACTTCTAATGATGGGGATTCTTCTTTCTCTGCTACACCCACTGCTCCACATGTGGCTGTTGAGACTGCTATGGTCACAATTCCCCGCGATGAGTATGATCAGTTTCTGTCTCAACAACGGCCTTCTACCTCATCTTCCATGGGTCCCTTGCCCAATCAGGTAGTGCTCCTGCATGTCTTTTGTCCTCTAGTCCAAGTCCGTGGATTCTGGACTCTGGCGCATTCGATCACATGACTGGTAGTTCTCATCTCTTATCTGATTTTCAGTCTGTTTCTTCCTCTCAAAGTGTTACTCTTGCTAATGGATCATCAACTAAAGTTTTGGGTTTGGGAACTATTCATCTTACCTCCTCTATGTCCCTTTCCTCTGAGTTATATGTCCCTCAATTCCCTATTAATTTGTTGTCCATTAGTAAGCTTACTAAATCTCTTAACTGTTCCGTTACATTTTATCCCACATGTTGTCTTTTTCAGGATCTCAAGACGAAGAAGAGGATTGGTACGGGACATGAAGTAGGTGGCTTGTATTACTTCGATCTTGCATCATCTCCCACGGCTCTTCAATCATCTTTGTCTTCTTTCCAGTGGCACTATCGTCTCGGCCACCCATCATTATCAGTTTTGCAGCATCAAGTCCCCGGTCTTAGTCGTATTGAGTCCATGTCTTGTGAAACATGTCAACTTAGTAAGCATTGTCGTGTATCTTTCAAACCGAGACATAATAATCGTGTTGCTAGTCCTTTTCAGTTAGTTCATTCAGATGTATGGGGACCAATAAAACATATTTCTATTAATGGATTTCATTATTTTGTGACTTTTGTGGATGATCATTCTCGGATGACTTTGTTGTTTTTAATGAAAAATCGTTCTGAGTTGTTCTCTATTTTCCAAAGATTTTGCAAAGAAATAAAAACTCATAAAAGTTTTACGTTCTGACAATGCCAAAGAATATTTTTCGGATCCTTTTGAGACTTATTTTCATGCTAAAGGCATCATTCATCAATCATCTTGTACTTATACTCCACAACAAAACGGAGTAGCTGAACATAAAAATCGTCATCTCCTAGAAGTCTATCGTGCCCTTTTATTTCATATGCATGTTCCCAAACGGTTTTGGAGTGATGCTGTTCTTACGGCATGTCATCTTATTAATCGGATGCCCTCGTCAGTGTTAAAAGGTAAATCTCCTCATTCTGTTCTATGTTCCAACTCCGTTTCGTTTAATCTTACTCCGCGGGTCTTTGGATGTGTGTGTTATGTCCATAACCTTGGACCTGGTCTTGATAAACTCGACCCTTGTGCCACTAAGTGTGTTTTTCTTGGGTATTCTCGCACTCAGAAGGGCTATCGTTGTTACAGTCCTCATTTTCAACGTTATTTCACTAGTGCTGATGTCACATTTTTTGAGTCTCTCCCTTATTTTTCTGATTCTACTACTCCTCTCGATATTACTGTTGAGCGACCTATGCCAATGGTTCCCTCTCTGTTTCCTGCTCCGCACCTCCTCGCTCTGTTGTCCCATTGCAAGTTTATACTCGACGACCTTGACTGCCTACTTCGCTCCCTCCATCTCCTTCAAAGTCTTCGGATCCGACGCCTTTACCTGATGATTTGCCTATTGCTCTCCGTAAAGGTATTCGGTCGTGTGTTACTGCACATCCCATTTCTATCTTTGTCTCTTACCATCATATTTCATCCTCTTTATCTTGTTTTTTTATCCCGAGTGTCTGCTACTTTTGTTCCCAAGACTTTGCAGGATGCTCTCTCTAATTCAGGTTGGCGACAAGCCATGGTAGATGAAATGGATGCCCTTCACCGTAATTGCACGTGGGATCTTGTTCCTTTACCTCCGTGCTCCAAAACGGTTAGTTGTAAGTGGGTCTATACAGTTAAATACCTTCACGATGGGTCTATTGAGCAGTTGAAGGCTCGTCTACTGGCAAAGGGGTACACTCAGACTTATGGTGTTGATTATGATGAGACTTTTTCCCCTGTTGCTAAGATTTCTTCTATTTGGGTACTTATTTCCATTGCTGCTAATTGTAACTGGCCGTTGTTTCAATTGGATGTCAAAAATGCCTTCTTACATGGTGACCTGGTTGAAGAAGTTTATATGGAGCAACCACCTGGGTTTGTTGCTCAGGGGGAGTATCGTCACACTGTTTGTCGCCTTAAAAAGGCCTTGTATGGATTGAAACAATCTCCACGGGCTTGGTTTGGCAAATTCTTTGAGGCGGCATTGGAATTTGGCCTTAACAGATGCCAGACCGATCATTCGGTATTTCACCTGCGCACTAAAGCTGGTTTCATTTTTCTTGTGGTATATGTAGATGATATTGTGATTACAGGTGATGATTCTGAAGGCATTGCTAAGTTGAAGTTGTTTCTGCAAAATCGATTCCACACTAAAGACTTAGGTAAACTTAGGTACTTCTTGGGTATTGAAGTTGCTAGATCCAAGAAGGGTATAAGTTTCTCTCAACGCAAATATGTGTTGGACTTGCTAGAAGACACTGGTATGTTAGGTGATCGTCCGGTTGATGCTCCTATGGATTCCAATACAAAACTTGTGTCTAATGAGGGTGATCTATTTAATGACCGGGCAGATTTCGTCGCCTTGTTGGGAAATTAATTTATCTCACTATCACTCGACTTGATATTTCCTAGAATGCCACATTGGATTGCTGTTCTTCGGATTATCCGATATCTCAAGCAAGCTCCAGGTTTTGGGTTACCATATAAATCAAATGGTCATCTCAGGGTGGAAGGTTTTACAGATGCTGACTGGGCTGGTTCTCCTTCAGATAGGAGATCTACTACAGGCTACTGCACATTTGTAGGAGGAAATCTTGGTACATGGAAAAGTAAAAAGCAAACGGTGGTAGCACGATCTAGTGCTGAAGCTGAGTACAGGGCAATGACCCATACCACTAGTGAGTTGACATGGATACAACATTTTCTGAAAGAACTTGGGTTAACAGTTGAAGCTCCTACTCCGTTATTCTGTGATAATCAAGCAGCTGTTCACATTGCATCGAATCCTGTGTTTCATGAGAGGACCAAACATATTGAGGTTGATTGTCACTTCATTTGGGAAAGAATATTAAGTGGGAGCATTTCTACTCCATTTGTGAAGTCTGAAGATCAACTAGCTGACATGTTTACCAAAACATTGGGTCATAACCGGTTAAGGACTATCTGTTCCAAGCTGGGATTATTTGATATATATTCTCCAGCTTGAGGGGGAGTGTTAGAATGTTTATGTATATATATATTTATGTTGGGTCATTATGTTATTACCCATAGTTGTTAGGATCATTGTATAAATTAGGTAACCTTATTTTATTAGGGTTGTTTGTTTTCCCTTTATAAAAGCCACTGTAGGCTTAAGGGTTAGAGTGTGAAATATATACAAGAGATATACAGAATACATATTCCCTCTTTCTCTCTCTCATGAATCTGAACTGTATTCAAATATCTATTCTTTCCCCCCAACTGTTGGGTGATCCTTCCAACCTTTAGTGCCCATAATTGATAAACTTAGTAAATCAATGTTGAGTCTAGTTGATGGAGATCAAGTTCAAAACATTTTAGCCCTTTTTTTTTTTAACCGACCCGCTGAAATCCCAAGTTTCTTTTGCAAGTGAAACAGAACAGATTGAAGAAAAGTAAAAGAACCTCAATACACCACCAAGCAGTACATGTTTTGCTCACTAGTGGCCACATTGATTGTGCAATTGGGCGAGACAAATTTTATCATGTAATGGGAAAAAATATGGAAAATATAGACATAGTGGCTTACTTTTTCAGGTACAAGAAAAAAATTTCACTCTAAAATTTCCATTATTGTCACTTTACTGACAGCTTTGTCTTATCCCAACTTCTGTTGGGCTGCTGCAGCAATACTTTGGTGGTATAACCTGTCGATTCGTAGCAGCTGTTAATCAAACAAAGGGTTGGAATGGAATTGAGAGAACCCACACTCTAAACACCTTCTCTAACTCTGGGTTCTCCTGTCTCGGTGAAAATCTTTGGCTTTCCAAATTGCGCCGTCCAAAATAGGTGAATCTATTTCAGTAACCAGCAATGAAGACAAGATGCTCACTAACACCTACAGTAAACCACATTCTTAAAACCTTCTTTAACTCTTGGTTCTCCTGTCTTGGCACCAATCTTTGGCTTTCCAAAGTGCACCCCAAGATGCTAACTAAATTAGCTGGTAAGGTATGTGATGGTAGAACCACATGCTTTAATTCGTCTTAGAGACCATCTCTATCCTCATTTCCGTTTGGCTAGATACGGTTGTAGATTTTTGCTGTCATCAACTCTAGTAGTAACAGTATGTTTTATCATATAAAGTTGGTTTTGACATTAGATGCATCTTTCAATCTAACATTATTATATACAAAAAATTTCAAAGGGGTTCCTCTTTAGTACTTGGAAGGAATATTATAAACCTTTTATAGTCCCTAGATTTTAATCTGTTTTTAATAATTGATTTAGCTTTTCTTTGATTTCAATTGGAAAACTGCATGTATTCTAGCGTTCTAAACTTACTGTATTGAAGCTGCTGTCTTTTGTATGGCTTTTTCCCACAAGCTTCTCAGTTTATTTTGTGATGCAGGAGGATGTTCTATATGCTAGAGTTCGCACAACTGGTGTCATAGAAATCCAATTCAGGTGAATACTGTTTGTATCTATAACATTCTTTTTGTATGCACCATTTATTCGAGCTTCTTGCATACCTGCTTAGTCTTTTCCTCAAAGTTTGTAGTTTACCTACAGCTTTGGTGGCATCATGCTATTTTGATAAGTTATTTATCTTGTGAATTTTATGGACTGAAGGATAAATTACAATATGAAGGCTTAGTTCTATGACATACTGGTTGTATCTACCATGAATGAATTGCCCATTTTTCAAAAATTAAAACATTGTCTCATTTTGGAAGAAATTACTAAGAGTTTCTCTATCTTTATATATTCTTAGGGAGAAATATATATTGTGGCCATTTATTTAAATTACTTAGTAAGGATGTAGTGTTGGACCCACCATATTTTGTTACAATGGAATTATGGACTGACATTGTACATAACTTCACAAGCTTTAAACCAATTAATTGGTCAGCTATAGGAATTATTTTTTGCCATTCAAATCTATCTAGGGCCTTACCCTCCATTGGATTGGCACCTAACATGTTTTCCACGCCACAAGATGTCAATTCTTCCTCTTTTGTTTTCTTTTTGTTCTTAGCATCTTCACCTTGTATCAAGTCACTCATTATTAGTACATTTATTGATTTTTTTATTGTACTATACCATTTAGTCAGATTTCACTTGGACACAATGCATGACATACTCAAAAATGAATCTGTCCATTTTTTTGTTTGATAAATAAAATTTTATTAAGGAACCAAAGGGGAGCGCGTCAAAACAACAACTGTTACTGTTGCATAAATTTGAATTAATGGTGTCACATTCTTTTCTAGTTGTTTGAAGTTTATTGTTAGGATGCTGCATAATTATGCTATTAGTAGTTACTTGTACCTTTACCTTTAATTTTGTCATTTGGATTTCCTTCTCCTGATAATTCTATTGACAACTTATTAATTACTATAATTGCAGCCCAGTTGGAGAGAACAAAAAAAGTGGTGAAGTATATAGACTCTTTGATGTTGGAGGCCAGAGAAATGAGAGAAGAAAATGGATTCATCTATTTGAAGGTGTTACAGCTGTGATATTTTGTGCTGCTATTAGCGAGTAAGGTTTCTTGCTTTGTCCACTGTCACATTATTTGCATCTGGTTCTTGTGAATCTGAAACTGATCATGACATCCATAGGCAGGGATATTTTCAAATCTTTCTTTATAAACTAGAAATATGTTGTTGCCAGATAGAGTTTAGTAGCTGGATCTTCGTTTTTGTGTTGAATGAGGTTTGCAATAGCCTTAATTTGTTCTAAATCAAAGGACCTCAAACACTGATTCTAATAAGGCTTTTTAAGTTCTGCTTATTTTTATGAACTTATTGGGATATCCTATTAGCGATTCAATGTTTCAAGATTCTTTAAAAAGAAATTTGTTACGCTGCTACATTATTTTGCTGGATAACTGCCATTATACCAATAATTCTATCTTTGGAAAGGTCATTATTTTTCACCCTTTTGTTTGTAAGAGTGAAAAAAACAAAGGGTTACCACAAATCTGGTTGAAGACTGACTAGGCACAAGTTACAACCCCTATGATAGTAGTGATAGTGATAAAACTTTTAATTGTTATTGTAATTGTTTTCAGGTACGATCAAACACTATTTGAGGATGAAAACAAGAACCGAATGATGGAGACCAGGGAACTCTTTGAGTGGGTCTTAAAACAACCATGTTTTGAGGTTTTTCTTTTTCTTTTCTTTTTTCTGTTTCATTCTTCTTCTTCTTATTATTTTTTTACAGCACATCTACAACATTCTGATGTTCTCTTATTGTGGAGATTACTTTTGCAGCTCATGTCCATTTCTTTTGTTACTATTATACTTTTACACAAAACTACTATTTTCTTAATAGTTGAGACTGCCTTTACAACTTATATATATTTCTTTTTGCAGAAGACATCATTCATGCTATTTCTGAACAAATTTGATATATTTGAGAAGAAGGTTCTAAATGTAAGAGCAAATAAACACATTTATACATATAGCTGGATAGTTTTGCAGTCTTGGATTTTGATATTCTGTTGGTGTAGGTGCCTCTGAATGTATCATTTTGATATTCTGTTGATGTAGGTGCCTCTGAATGTATGTGATTGGTTCAAAGATTATCAGCCTGGTTCAACGGGTAGACAAGAGGTTGAACATGCATATGAGTAAGTATTTGTATATTTCTGCAGCTGTCTTTTGAAAAAACAGAGAGGAAAGATTACCAAAAGGCCAAAATCTATAGCAGTTTTGGCACCCGAAATAACTGAATTACTCATTTGCCCCCTTGTTTGAGAAGAAGGGGAAAGGGCGGTATTTGATAAATGCGAAAAAAATTATATATCCAACTCCCTTGCTGAAAGAGTTTTATGTTCTTCGTGTTTGGTTGAGTACACTTCTATTCAGAAATAGTGTGATATGTAATGTAAAATTGTTAGTGGTAGTAAATATGCCATGCTGGATATAGGAATTATTGGACAAGAGGAAGTTTGGATATGTTGAGAAATCAACTCCCAAAATATTTGGTGTTTAATTTTAAAAAAATCACCAAAAAAGATGTTTGGGGTTTTACTTTTGATGGCCAAAACTCCCCTTTGACACACCTTGGCAATTTTTTCTTCTCTAAATTAGGACTAGTCAAAAAAAAAATTTGGACTAGTCAATATCTGGATTAGAGAGTTGCTAGTCTTTTCAATGTGTTATTTATATTGGTCCATTCTCTCAAATGTCCATTCCATGAACTTCACATTCAGGTTCGTCAAGAAGAAATTTGAGGAGTTGTATTTTCAAAGCACTGCCCCTGATCGCGTGGATCGGGTCTTTAAGATTTATAGAACAACGGCCCTTGACCAGAAGCTTGTGAAGAAGACTTTCAAACTGGTAGACGAGACTTTGAGAAGGAGAAACCTTTTTGAAGCAGGCTTATTATGAAAGTGGATTGATGATCCTAGGAAAAAAAAGGTCTATTTTTGAGAACTATATCAAAATTTTGACATTGAGGTCAGAACAATCCTTCATAGACAACTGGCATATCATATTCCACAGGTTTAAAAAGTTTTGGAATCCCATTTGTTATAGGCGTTTGTAACAGAAAGTTAATATTTCAACCCTGTTATTCTTCTTGGATGGTGCTTAGTCTGGAAGAACACCCCCAGAAAGAATTTGTTCGAGTCTTTTGTGGGTTTTAGACCAGAATTTGGGTCAAACACAAGATGCTGACTTTGTATTCTTTTACGCTGCATCATATATGATCATTCATTCCAAGCTTTTATGGAAGAGTTCTATATGGGGCACATTATAGGTTTTTTTATATGATCTTTCTATTTGGGTTATACGAGTAACTTCTGCAACTTTGCAGGTAGCACTAAATGTGGTATTGTCACTACCCTAACCCCAAGGGATTATAATTTGAAATGTATTTTATCATCTTTTCTTTTACTTTTCTGGTGATGAGATTGAGGATTGTCTCCACATCCTGCAGAGATGACTAATCTCCATAAATACATGGAGCACCCCCAGTTCTATCTGGTAAGTTCAGTATATGACATTTGAGACCTCTCTGGCTCGAGACGGACTCAGATTCCCTACATGTTGAGGTTAACTTGAAATGTAGGTAACTCGTGTCCAGCATTAAATTTTTGTAGGTCAGGGATTTATTGAAGATATGGCATTATATAGAGTTGAATGGCAAAATATAGTTACATAATTCCTGTAGTTAATAGTTGGGACTAGGCTTTCTGGAGCCGAGTAGAATACCTTTTGATTTAGACAGGAGGAACTATTTCTATTTCTGGAGCTCAGTAAAATTTCCATGATGAAAAAAATAAATAAATAAAAAAGGGTGCAGATCTCATGTTTGCGAGTGTGAGAATAGGTGAATTAAGTTGAAGATGAAAGTGTATTTTGAAATTTCAAACAAATGGAATTGGACGTTAAAAATGACTATTTAAGACAACATTTAAAGTTTTAAATTCTCACTTTTCATATATGTATCTATATATATATTCGAAACTAGTTTAGCAGTAGTAGTCTTTGCATGATATAAGCATAGTTTTCAGCATAGTTTTCACATGCAGAGAGTCAGGTGTCCTCCATAATTATACAGTTAAAAAAAAGTCACAAGAAAAGTTAAAAAAAAGTCACAAGAAAATTTCGTAACAGTCTTTACCATTTATTGGAAAAGCAGACTTTTTAAAGTTATAAATTATCACTTTTCATATATATATGTACATGTATAGGGTTATTATTATTATTTGAATGTATTTGAACAAATTTGGACTCTCTAGTGTTTCAATTTCTATACATAGGCTAGAGTTTGAATGCCGAACATGTCAATTTTTCAACATTTAAATTCATTTCAGTATTGAGAGCTAAATACGTAGGCCAGAGAGTTTCGATTGATTATTGGGGTATGTTTTGGAAAATAAAAATAAAAAAAATTAAAAATCAATATGCAGCATAAGCATTAAAAAAAAAATGCTCTGGTGGGAATTAATTCATTAGCGACATTGATTGGTTTAGCAACATTTTTGCGGACAGATATAGGGGCTGAGGTTAGAGTTGGTTCTGCAGAAAAGAATTTCACAATAACAAACCTACCCAATATATATATATACCCTACATTTAAGTATAGAAAAGAGTAAAAATATCATGTAACTAAATATGTATCCAACCCTACATTTTTCTCTATTGTATGGCCAACCAAACACACACACATATATAAAAAGCTAATACTTGGGCACAGCAAGCAATTTCCACCCTCCAACTGCCAATAACTAATTCTCTGCTTCACAAAACCATTAAACCAATTAACCAGAGCCACTGAGAAGCTACTTGTAATTATTTTCATTATCTGAAACAAATTGATTTTTAAACATGAGAAATTAAACACAACAACAAACAAAATCATCATCAAATTAACTGCTTTATGCATTGGGTTTTCTGCTGGGTTCATGGGAATCTCTGCAAGAGCATGTGCGGCCTCTGCTGTGGCATGGTTGGTCCTCCTTGAAGGGTTTCTGGTTTCCGTTAACGGCGGCGGCGACATTGATTACAAAGATGCACTTAAAAAGTCCATTCTTTTTCTAGAGGCACAGAGATCAGGAAAGCTTCCTTCCAACAACAGGCTTTCTTGGAGGGGAGATTCTGCTCTTCAAGATGGAAAAGATGTAAATGTGAGTCCCTCTCTCTCTCTCTCTTTCTCTCTTTCTCTCTCATTATGTATATATTATTGACAGTATCTTAAAATCATCTCTTAGAAATCCTGTTTGACAACTTATATTAGTGTGGATAGCTCCTAATTGTGTATACGCATTTTGAAAACCGTGCTCACGGTGAGTATGCAAAGCAGACAATATCTGCACAACGGGCACGAGTCGTAATAAATGATATCCGAGTCAATCTCTCCTGAAATTCAGACAAGTGAGAACGCGAAGGGGAGAAGTTACTGGCACTTACATGCGTCGATGTCGCATTTTGAGAACTGTGAAAACGGTGTCTGTTGTCAAAGTTGTCATAGAATTTCACTACTATGCTATTTGATTTTCATAATAAATTATGCAACCTTTATTTTATTTTGTGAATAGGATTAATACAATACTTTGTCCGCAGAGAACACAAATTTCCCATTTACTAAACAACATTTTTCTTTGAAAAGGTTGATATTCCATGAGTTTAATATGTATAATTAATGTGATATTTGGATGTTTTTGTAAAATAATAGGTGGACCTGGTTGGGGGATACTATGATGCAGGGGACAATGTGAAGTATGGACTCCCCATGGCATTTACAGTGACTACACTTTCATGGGCTGCTATATTTTATGGACCAGAGCTCAAAGCAGCTGGGGAGCTACAAAATGTTCATGCTGCAATTAGGTGGGGCACTGATTTTTTCCTCAAAGCCAGCTCTAAGCGTAACCGCCTATATGTGCAGGTGAAGCCCCTTTCTCCCTAGCATCCATATATATATATATATATGTATATATATGACTGTATATAACAGTGTTTTCAAATGTAGAATGTAAATTATTTAATATTGTTCAAAATGACATCAATTTGACAACAAAAGTTAAAAACACATTATACATGTATTGAGTGTACTCCCTTTACAATTCCTAGACTAATTGGAATGCTCTTTTCACAGCACAAAGCAAGAGTTTAAAAAAAAAAAAACCCTTTCCAATCTCTTCTTTAGGTAATGATCAATGAAAAATGTCTCATCAACTTTAAACTAAAGAAAGTCCTTTGAAGTACTTCTTAGTAATAAGAGCAAATGTGTTTGAGAAAGCATTCCTTGAAAAGAAAAAAATGTCAAAGATTTGTACTGATGTTGTTATGTCCATGACACTAATCAAGGTAGGAGATCCAGAGCTAGATCACCAGTGTTGGATGCGGCCCGAAAACATGCAAACGCCAAGAACTGTGCTAAGGATTGACCAGAATACACCAGGAACCGAGATTGCAGCCGAAACTTCTGCAGCCATGGCTGCTGCTTCAATTGCCTTCAGAGGCTCAGACCGCGCCTATGCTCGCCAAATCCGTAACAAAGCCAAACTGGTACCAGTTTCTGCATATATAGCTTGGCCTTATATTTTGAATTCATCATATATGGTAATATACATTTTGTTGTATCAGATCATAAGAACCTTAATCTAAAACTAAACAATTATTGATGCTTTTATATGTCTATTTTGTTGATTTATTTTGCAGCTTTTTGAGTTTGCCAAAAAATATAAAGGAACTTATGATGGAGAATGCCCCTTCTACTGCTCTTACTCAGGCTATAATGTAATACTTCCCCTCTCTTCTCTCTTTCTCTGTGTGTGTATATATATATATATATGGATATCCTTTATTTCTAGTACATAAAATGGTGATTATAACTTGATGGGATAATGACAATGGGAAGTTTTTAGTAAACTGGTCAATAGACCAATGGAAAAAAACAAATAATTAGAGTCGAAAAGTTTGAATGAAATAGAGAGCCTAATGTCACGGACTTGGACCTATCCAAGCTCACGTGCAGTCTTAAACATGTTTAAACCCCATGAAGTGAGAAGGGTGCGGATCGTAACACTAAGCTACACTCATCAGTGAGGTGAGATCTAATTAAATATATTTGAATACTCTCCATTTTGTTTGAGCTGTTCGGCCTGAATATCATTACTCTTTTATCAAATAAGTTGCTAACTGCATGTTGCAAAGAAATGCAGGATGAGCTATTGTGGGCTGCAACATGGCTATACATTGCCACCAAGAAGCCCGTGTATTTAGAATACATACAAGAGGATTCCATTAGTGCTCACGTGGCTGAATTTAGCTGGGACCTCAAGTATGCTGGTGCCCAAGTCCTCTTATCTAAAGTAACATTGTTACTCTCTCTCTCTCTCTCTCTATATATATATATATATATATATATATATATATACACACACACACACACACACACACACACACACATACATACATACTATGTCAATGCATACAATATTTGGTATCATTAATAATAAGCTGTGTTTAATTTCCACCAAATATTTTCCTCAAAACTGCAGTTGTGTTGGGAAGGGCAGAAAGGTTTAGAGTCATTCAAGCAGCAAGCTGAGAGTTTTATATGCTCGGTGCTTCCTGATAGCCCCTACCATCAGGTTTTCGTGTCTCCAGGTCTCTCTCTCTCTCTTTCTCTCTCTCCATACTGTACATATATATATATATATATATATATATATATATATATATATTGTAGATATATGTGTGAAAATGATACTCAACATATGATCATAATCAGGGGGTCTGATTCACCTAAGAGATGGGGCCAACACACAATATGTTACAGGCACAGCTTTCCTGTTTAGCGTCTATAGTGATCTGCTAGCCAAGTACAATCAACAGGTCAAATGTGGCGACAAACAGTTCAATTCAGCCCAACTCATGGATTTTGCTAAGCAACAGGTAATCAATAATCACCTTCAAATATCATAACTGGTGGCCAAATTCAATAATATTTTAGAATTTATCACAAGAATTCAAACTTCACAGATTAATATTTCTTTTTACAAAACACAAATTAATTATATAAGCATGTGCACATTAATTGACTAGGTTGATAAATGAATGAAATTGCAGATGGATTATATACTGGGGAAGAACCCAAAGAAAAGATCATACATGGTTGGGTTTGGGAACAATCCACCAATGCAACCCCACCATCGAGGCGCTTCTGTGGCCAAGTATTCTGCAAACCAGGCAGTGAGCTGCCCCATGAGCTTTGTTTACTTCTACAACAAAAATAATCCCAACCCGAATGAGCTAACAGGCGCCATCGTCGGAGGTCCTGACCGGTACGATAATTTCGTAGACCAGCGTTGGGAATCAGCCATGACTGAGCCAACAACCTACACCAACTCATTAGCAGTTGGTGTTCTTGCAAAGCTTGCAAAGCAATGTGTGTAGTTCAGTAGGAATGCCTTAGCTGCATGCATGTATGTAGAGTACACACACAGCTGAATTGCCTCTCTCATGCATGCAACTAGCTCTTTAATTACCTTAATTAGAGAGAACAGATATTTATCTAGTTTTTTTTTTTGGTTAATGATTTCATCCTGGAAGCAGAGAAAGCATGTATGAATGCATGTTCTTTACTATCCCTAATCATTGTTCTTCTTGTATTTTCTGTCACCACTAATAAATTTCATATATGTACTTTTTACAAGACAAATCGAGTTGACATAATATACATGTGCACAATCGGAAAAGATGTACGGTAGTTGAGTTGTCAAGGTAGATATATATTGGCATACAACATTCAAATTATTTTCTTACATTCAACCTCCATATTTTCATTTCATGGGAGACCAAAGGAGAAGTCATATAGTCTTTAAATCATTAAATTCACAAAAGCCTAACGATACCAGACTCTTATTTCCCAAAACGAGGTCAACGGTTAAAGCTGTAATACAGGCAAGTGTGTGTGAGTACCAATTAGGAAAAAAAAATTCACAAACCAAATAAAGCATTAAGATCATCATGCAATTTCTCAATTGAAACTACATTGATACCAAGTCACTTGTCTTTAATCAATTATATCTTGTCACATAAATAAAAATACATTTACTTCAATAATTCAATAAATGTCATTAATTAATTATATCTTGTCATATAAATAAAAATACATTTACTTTAATAATTCAATAAATGTCATTAATTAATTATATCTTGTCACATAAATAAAAATACATTTACTTCAATAAGTACCATCACTACGGGTCAACATTCCAAGAGCATTATATGGCGGCCCTGAAGTAATAAATTTCCCTGTTTCCATGTGAAAACGAAATCACAGTGGACACTTAAAGAGGTGAAACAAGATTTGTTGAGCTTCAGAGACATTTCTGCATAAATGTGAGATGCCCGAGATCACAGTGATATGACATCCAACTCTTTTACAAGCCACTAAATGCAAACTGATTGCCAATAAATGCAGAGGGTTGATTCAACATACGTAGGAACTTTGATTGCCTACCACTAGTACACAAACATACATCTCAAGCCCTAATGTCGCATGACGTGAATAACATGTCTATATAAAGATTGAACAAAATTTTCTTGATTCACTTTATACACAAGTATTTGTGTCGAGACTCAAGAACAAGATTTTCTTGATGCTCTTTATGTTTGTACACGCAAGGGATTCCAAGTCTAAGCCAAAAATGAGAGAGCATAAAAAAGAACCAGGAATACAACATGAATTTGTTTCCATTAGAATGGATGATGTACAGAGTTTAAAAGAAAAGGCTTCATAAAAACAGGGAAGCCTTTTAAGCATATATATACTTAATACTATACAATCACTACGCTACTTCCTAACCCTAAACAATTTAGAGGGCATCCTTATCAATCCCCAAAATCACTTGTCAACAAAAGAGTTGTTACACTTCCAATCCACAGCCTGCTAAGCGCATCTCTTACTTTCTGACAATCAAATCTTCAAAATATCTTGTTGAGTGTCGAGACACTTGTTCTTTGACAATCTAATCTTCAAAATATCATGTAGAATGTTTGGGACACTTGTTTTCTTACGTGGGAAAAAGCCGGTCTACCTGAGCTACAGGCATGTAACATTAAAATTAAACCAGACTTCCAACCAGCACCTGTGCTTCACAACTTGTATGGTTGGAACATTTACTTTGAATGCTGAACCAGAAATTGTGCACAAGGGTATTCAGACAACAATGTTGGGAGCTCAATATCAGAAAAATCTATAGCAGGAATCGCCATATATATATCTTCAGTAGAGAATGGAATGCTGCAACAAAGAAATGAATTAAGATGAATGAACTTGAAGTCGAGGTGAATAAAGCATCTGCACATGATATCGCTACAAAATTGAAAGCTCTTGTCATCCGGATTTTTTCGAGCTCATTTCCATGACAACTTCCAAAAAAATAAAGTTCTTATGACAGGTGGCAATATAAAATTGTTACAGCTACGCTGAATCTGAGTACTAATAGTTTAATAGACAGCATTCTTTCTTATACTGTTTGCGAATCACATTATGCAACTAAGGAACAGTTACGACAAACACAGAAACAACCAAGAAATACGACAGAAAATAAACACGCCAGACAAAGAACACAAAGATTTAGTATGGTTCGGCAAAGCCTACATCCACGGTGAAGAACTGGTGAAAGAATTCACTATGTGAAAATCTGAAAATTACAAGTTCCAGCGCCAAAACCCTAGCTCTAGCTCTCAATATCTTTTCGGCGATTTTCAGTGTCTCTCAACAATCCCACTCCAAACCCCAAGCGCCCTTATATATCGGGCTACAAGAGAGTATAAACAGGGCCCATGACCCGCAAGAAAAAAAACCGAGCTCAATCAACGGGTCATCGGGTTAAAAAGGGGTCAAAAGGAGACCCAGAACCAAATTCGGGCCACAACATCATAGTACCTAACAGGAAATTCGAGCTTTGAGGGCAGTGTTGCAAAGAAGGAACTAATTGAAATTTCCAACTATGTTGAGGGTTGTATATCATAAACCGCGAATAAGGAACCAATCAAAATTTCAAACTTCATGGGTAGGGTTGTGAATCAGTGTGCAAACAAGGAACCAAGAATTTCAAATTCTATGGCAGGGAGGGGTGGTAATTCGTGTTGACGGGTTGTGTTTGTGTCATGTCAAGACATGGGTATCCTGTTAAACGGGTCAACATGAACACAACACGATTATTATTCGTATTAGGAAACGTTGACACGAACATGACAATTATTACACGAGTAACGACACGTGTAACCCATTTAATAAATGGGTCAAGACTTGACATGACACTTGATACAACAAGACAAGTTTAAGTCATTTTTGAAACAAACATGATATGATGTTTAGCCAAATGGGTCATTTTTAACATGAATACAACACGTTTAGTTAAAAATCGGGTTATAAACGGGTTGACGGATCAAACATAAACTCAACACGTTTAATTACCATGCCAAATTGGGTCGACAGGAACACTTATTTCATGTTGTATTCGAGTCGTGTTAGCCTGTCGTGCCAAATATTGCCACCCATAGCCAGGGTTGTGAATATATTCAGCAAAATAAGGAACTTTGTAGGCAGGGTCATACCATGTGGTAATCTCTAGTACCTTGGTAAGAAACCATAAACAAATAATAAGGGGTCAAGCACTGACAATGATAATGGTGGTAAATTGGTGAAAAATGCAGCTGTTTTGGGTCACACTTCATCTGATAAACGTTAAAAATTGAAGCAATTTTATCATCATAGAAACAGTTAAGTATGCAACTCTCCACATAGACTGTTGCCAATCATTCTGTTGGACACAAAGGAATAATATATCATTGCAAATAACAGGTTAAGGGCAAAAAGTAAGAGTTTACCTCAGATCATCATCCAGCAAGAATGAATTTGAGGTTAGATTCTGAGAGTCCTTGTTCAAAATCTCTCTCATCTGAGCAACAACCTGCAAACCAAACACAATTTTCAGAAACAAAGATACACCATAAAGCAAATTTACACTAAATAAGAAAGGAACTCAAACACTTTCCTCATTTGACACACTTTGAGTACCATATTTGTCATCCCAATACATGGTACTTATTCGATAGATTTGCCTAACAGTCAATGCCTGCCAAAGATAACAGATCGAGAAGTTGAGTCTGGAAAGTGGGACATGAGAGAAAAATGTCAAAATTCAGCTAGGTGAAAAGATCATACTGGACATAGATCATGCCTAATCTCGTCCAGGGACTTCTTTCTCTTTTGATGTATCACCTAAGATGATTTACAAGAAACATAAGCAAACTAGATATCTAAACATTTACGGTATTGAAGATCTCACAACAGTACTATGGCTTATACCAGAAAACCGACAGCTTGTCTGATATAATTTAGCTCATGCCAAGAAGTTCCTGCAAACTACATCTAATATTGATTTAGATCCGGATGTATATTAGAAGTTTTAACTTTTGCCAGAAGTGCTTGCGAAGCAAAAAGAGAAATATAAATACCTCCTCCTTTGCACCAACTATCCATTTTTCTAGTTCTGCTAGACCAGATTTCACATATTCTCCGTTTGAAAATGTGCAACATTCTCGTCGCAATAGAAGACTGAGAAAAAGCTTCAGCTCGATAAAAATTCACAAATTGATCGCTAAATTTCAAAAATAAGATGCGAAACTCAAACAATATTGCGTACCTGTTGAAAAGTGATATATTGATGAAAGAGAAAACCTGAGTCGTGAGCTTCCGAATGAAAAAAGAAGGTACCTGGAAGTACACTGTTTGTGTTACAAATGTAATAAATTGATATAACAGTGTTGCTTAAAGCTACTAGGACAAGAAGATGGAGTAAACATAAAATATTCCACACTCGTTCCACTTTGCATGTGTGTGTGAAAAGAAAATGATGAATGCTTACTCAGATTAAGACCAAAATGGTCATGTGTCATCTTCTCAGCCACAAAGTAAGGGCAATCTGATTTTAGCACTCCGTTATCCCCATGTGACATGGTGACATCTTTCATACACCACATAATTCCAATAACCTTCCTATATTTTGTTTTAAGGTCACAGAGTTGCACATTAACATCCATGTTTTCCTTGTTATATTTCAAATCATCATACTTACCAACCCAAACCAAATATTGTCAGATCAAGAGTTGGCAGAAAGGGAATTTGAAGCACTAGGTTAAAAGCCTCAATCCAGACTCCATTTAACAGTCGATCATGACTTCAATAATACTAATAATATCTTGACATATTGCAGAATAAGAATATTAGAGGACAATATGGTTGTTTGGGTTTTAATCTGGTTTGTAAGCCCATGTGGCATAAGTATAAGAGGGTGATTTGCAGCACAAATTCTGGAACATCCTCAAATAAATAAGCAGGCCAGATATAATCTCAGGCAGTTTAGACCATTTTATTTCACAAGGTCAGAATTTTCAAGTTCCAGTCAACAAACCCAGAAAATGCTTATCATCCGGGTAAAGTCCAACAATCTTTTTCGAATCCATCAGCATAAAAGAGAAATGATCTTCCATGCAGTAAAATATACTTTAATTTTCAATATTCAAGTTCTCTGA